TTTAAAATATAACACGTAAGTATAAATTCACCAAATCAATTCTAACAGATTGCTCCAAAAGGAATTGTATAAAAACATATCATACTTTTGCAACCAGAGTGTTGGTCAAAATGTGTAAGTTTCTTCTATTCCAGGCGTTCTGCAAGTACGCATGATACGAAGTCCATCGAGATCCTTTTTTGGTCGTGAACATCCCCTTCTGTAGAGTCACGTTATTCAACTTGAACGACTCGTCCGCCATGAGAAAGGCTTCTATCAGGTATTCCTCCTCTGGACTGCTCATCACATTCATAATATCGGATACCTTTGTGATCAACAACAGTCACAGCTTAACTCAATCTTTCATACTCTTAAAACCGATAAAAATGACAATTTTATAATATTGCTATACTGTAATGTGCAACAAATGTTTTATGAATACGTTTAATCAACATTTAATACTTCTCATGTTCGGGAATATTACTTTTTTTTAAAAACATTGACAATATGAAACTTTGAAATGAAATTGAAATTATGCAAAAGAAATATAATTATGAAACACGGTGTATTATTGTTATCACCTTCTTGAAATATGGAAGCAAATCAGCGTGCGACCATCCTTTAGGCCATCCAGTGTAATCCTCTGGCCTTCCGAAAGAGTGAACTAAATAATTCATCTGACCACTTCCGCCCAATCCTTTACCTCGTGGCACTTTTTGTATCTAGAAAATATTTCAATTTAATTTTATATTTGAAGATAATAATATAATATATAAGACATTTTTACAACCATTTTTACAACCATGAATTTGTCATCCAATTTTATCTAAGTAATTCTACAAAATTTATTTTTCTTGTACTATTGTCTGTATTATGCTAAATAAACCCAACAATTTTTAAAGACATAAGGTGACCATTTCGCTATTAATTTTAAATGTGAATTAATAGAATATATTCCAATTCTTCTTAAAAATCAAAGTTGGCCCCTTATGTCTTTAAAAATTGTTGACTTTTACAATACAATACAAAAGATATTACAATAAAATTACATATAATTAGATGAAAAATGATTCTAAAAATGTGTTATACACTAAAGAAGACCATAATAAATCGGTTTTAAGAGTATGAAACGTGATGGTCGGAACGTCTCCCAAATAATTAATAACAATTAATTCCTAAGCTCCTACATTATGAATCTCTACTCTGTTACTCAACTCTTTGGGGCACGGTGGGATTAAAAGTGTCCCACCTTTTTGATGGACCGTAATGCATGGTGGTACACTTTTAATCCCACCTCGAAATTTTGCAATAGCTGCATGCGTATAGGTGTGATACCTTTATTAATAAAAATATAACAATTTTGTTTGATTTAAAACGCAATAAAATTCCTGTGCAACATGGGTCTATTTCATGACCTGAATACCTGTACCGCAAAGAGTTAAATCTTAACACAACTGCAAAAATTGCACAAATGGAGCATTGATGTTCTAACGTGACAATCTATTTTCGTTTACGTGATTCCCAAAGCCCCTAGAGGAGAATTTCTGTGGTTCTGAAGCGTAGGCCCAGTCGACCTCCGTCCCCTGCAGCATTGGCGCCAAAAGTGGTACAGAGGCGACCCATCCGAAGTAACCACCTGCTTCGACCAATAGCACCGTCTTATTCGAAATCTCGGACAGTCGTGATGCAACCACGCAACCAGCAGTCCCAGCACCAACTTTATTAGTAACAAATTACTCGCAAATAATTGCATCCATCACCTTTATCATTACGTACAAAATATCATTGAGACCACCGCAAAATTATATATTTAATCTTTCATTGTTTTGTGCCAGTGGTCCACCAAGGAATTTAGTGAAAGGTTGCAACTAAAAATTAACAGAGATGAATGAGTTACAACTAGGGGTGTGCGGGATCCCGGTCGGGACGGGAATTCCTTCCGGGATCGGGATGGAATACCGAGAATTTCAGAATCCCGAATACATCCGGGATTCCCGAGAATTTCAGAATCCCGAATACATCCGGGATTCCCGAGAATTTCAGAATCCCGAATACATCCGGGATTCCTGAAAATTTCCGGGATCCCGGAACCATTCGGGATTCCCGAGAATTTCGAGATCCCGTTAATGTTCGGGATTCCCGGGAATTTCCGGGATCCCGGAACCATTCGGGACTCCCGAGAATTTCGAGATCCCGTTAATGTTCGGGATTCCCGGGAATTTCGAAATCCCGTACATTCGGATTGCTGAAATTTTGCAAGAATAACGACACTTTTGGAAATCCCAGATATTATTCTATATCCCGTTCATTGCCGGGAATTCCGGATTTTTGCGGGATCTCGTGTATTCTCGGGAATCCCGAATCAACTCGGGATCCCGCATAAAGTCGAGAATCTCGAATATTCTCGGGAATCCCGGACATTTTACGGGAATCCCGAATATTTTCGGGAATCCCGCACAACCCTAGTTACAACACTTGAAAAAGCTAATAAGTCTTTATTTGAGAAGATGGATAAAAAGATACTGGTGGTGGAGAACAGTGTCAGAGGGGAAGGACGCTACTCTGCTCACCGATTATGTAATCGTAATGCGTGTCGGGGTGGTCGATAATGCTGAGCGGTCTGTTGAAGTAACAATGATAAATCAACGACGCGAGCAACACGACGACCGAGACCAGCACGTAATTCCACATGGCTCGTCGAGGAGACGTCCGCGATCGGTATCGATGACGGGACAACTGCGAGAAACTGGCACGGTCAGGGTGGAAAAGTAATTCCATTATTGAATTAGCATTACAGCGTGCAATCAATAGATTTACGGTAACGGGAAGATGATAGTCTGCCACGATAGCGATGCGTGTGGTAATGAGAACTCGTGGAATTAGTAGATCGTTCCCGGAACGATTAATCGTTATTTTTATCATGATTACCTCGTTAACACGTAGATGGCAATGTCACACATATATGGGTGACAGTGTTTTTCACTCAAGAACTAAAAGATTAATTCTGAAAAGTTGGCATCAAAGGAGATGAATTTAAATGAAATGAATTTTCATGAATTCTGATGTAGTTACAAAAATAAATACCAGGATAAATGTTTGATTACGTAGACTCCAGTAGTCTAAATAATATTTAGTCTTAGCAAAAATTTTTTAAGAATATTCGTTTGGCGGTCAACGTGTTAATCAATTACAGAAGTGACGCAAAAATAATCGATTACTGCCCAAGTCTGCCCGAAGGTAGAGATATCAAACCTCTCTAATTTCGGTTCGAATTTCGTGCGAAGAAATGAATAATTGCATTTCACCAGAGATTAAGTAACATTTTATTTGAATAATAAACGACGTATAAAAGCACCGTACTGCGAGTTATTTGAAATGTTTATTCGATTGCTCGGTTACTCGTTGTTAGACAAGCTTTTATTTCTATCTAATTTTGTCTGTGTTTAAATTGTACCATTGTCAATGGAATATAGGTGAACTACGAAACAGTTTCTCGCGTTTTTCAGGCAGGATAATGAAGAAAACACATAATGATTATCCACTTCGTAATCTGGGGAAGTAAACAATAATTCTTTCCATAGAAACATATTTTTATTATATTTTAAAGGTGCAATTACAAAATCTGTAGTAACATGCAGACTGATACAAAGAATATTTTAGACATATTTAGATATGTTTTAAACCAGTCTTAAGTAATTAATAGGATGCATAATTACCTCAGAGAAATTAGCAATACCATAATTGTTAAAAATTATAATTTATTATTCATTGCAATCATATATTTTCATACGTAAGAGCATATAAGCAAGTTAATGGACACAAAAACGGTATCGCCATCTCGCGGCGGTGTCCGAACTAATTTTTCAATATTATTAATTTAAAAAATACAGAAAAATGTGGCGCCATCTCTTCACAAACCCCCCAAGTTTGTCGTGAAATAGTTCTTTCCTGGCGTCGCTAGATGTCGCTACGCACATAAAATTATTTAAAACATACATTCTCTACTTTTCTCTGCATATAAATGTAATTTTGCATCATAATTATCACAATCCAACATCTAATTGCTGATTTGTAGCCTAATAAATGACTGATATCAAATTTTTTAGCGCTATCTCTCCACAAACTGTCCAAGTTTGTTGTGCAATAGTTCTCTCCTCTAGTCGCTAGATGTCGCCATCGACGTGAAATTATTCGAAAATCAAATTCTTTACTTTTCTTTGCATATAAATGTAATTTTACATCATAATTATCATAACTCAACATCTAATTGTTGATTTGAAGACTAATAATTGATTGATAGCAACTTTTTTAAATAAACGAAAATATCGCAAAATGTGTCGCCATCTAGCGATGGAAAGTTGGAACTATTTCACGACAAACTTGGGCGGTTCGCTGATAGATGGCGCCACATTTATCTGTATTTTATTTATTTAAATAAATTGATGAAGTCAATTATTAGTGTACAAATCATCACTTAGATGCTGAATTATGATAATTATGATGTAAAATTACAGTTATATACAGAGAAAAGTAGAGAATTTATATTTTAAATAATTTCACGTCGTTGGCGACATCTAGCGGCGCCAGGAAGGAACTATTTCACGACAAACTTGGGGGGGTTGTGAAGAGATGGCGCCACATTTTTCTGTATTTTTTTATTTAATAATATGATATATATATATATGAGAAATTAGTTCGGATACCGCCGCGAGATGGCGATACCAATTCTGGGTCCATTAACTGGCATTCGTCCTTTTATATATAGCAAAATATGAATGCAATGAATGTTATGAATAATAAACTATAATTTTTTAAAAATTCTGGTACTGCTCATTCCTCTGGGGCAATGATACATCCCATTCATTACTTAAGACTGGTTTGTTAGCACAATCTTTGATATGGTTCAAAAGATTTCTTATCCATCCAGTTCTGAAATCATTTATCCTAAATATTAACATAATATAGCAAGTGCACTTGCTTCTTTAATTTTATTAAGGGAATGTGGGAATCATACAAATATATTATTTATATAGAATTCATAAACAGTAATTTTATTAAATATTTCGTAAGTATATAAAACACTTACATAGTGTAATGTCTGTGAAAAAGCGAAGTATAGACATAAATAATTTACATAACAAAATAAGTATCTAACTTTAAAAAAATGGTATTTTAAAAACTGAATTTTACGTTTCACAATTTATTTTTTGTATACCTATTAATCCCAACTTTTTACACGTGATTCAGGCTCAAGAACAGACCAGTTTGGTGAATGTTTTTCATTAGATAACCAATTGAAATCATCGATACAGTTCCAGTTATTTATTTTTGGATCGAGACCCGCTAGATTGAAGTGATTCGCTTGGTCTTCGTAAGACCAATTGTAAGGCGCTACACGTATCTTTGTACAATCTTCTATGATTGATCTACTAGTAACGTGTAAATAAATAGTACAATCTGTCGAAGAGTGTAATCGAAGTTGTTGACACGCAAAAGCAAATACACATTCGCTACAATCGTGGATAAATACAGATGATGTTACTGGCCCAACCAACACAGTACACTGCTTTAAGTTTATCATATGCAATGTACTAGGTGTGCCATAGATTCGCACTGTACAACGAATTAAATCAGAAAGCAGAATATCATTTTTATTCACATTTTCAGCATCCAAAACTATCTGTTCATCAACTTTTCCCAGTAACATGCATGCACTGTCTCCATATTTACTTGATAATTTATGATTTTGTTTTGTAGAACCATTCACAATTCCTTCTGATATTTTCAAATCCTTTAAACCATCTGTAACATCATGTGTCTTCTCAGAGGTTTTTTTCACAACCCTTCGATTTTTAAAACCAAATTTCTTCTTAGGTAATAACTTTAGCTCCAGATCAGAAGCTTCACTTTCTAGTAATTGCAAATGTTCTTGTGCTCTTCTAATATCATAAACCTTTAGAAACATTTTTGATTGTGACAAATAAGTTTTAAGTGTTTGAATTTCTTTGTTTATTTTATCAAATATTCCAGGGAGAGTTGATATGGAAGCACCAAGTGCATCGTCTAGCATTTCTTTGATCTTCTTGCACGTTGAATAAAAGGTATCTTTAAAATAACTACTTTGTTCTGTTTCAACAGCTAATGATTGCCGTTCTTCTTTCCGTCTTTCAATGACATTTTTTCTTTCACGGTCTCTTTTGCTAATGCGGTCTGATAAACTCCCTTCTATGAGAGCAGGAGAATCCATGTTGCTGTTGCTATTTTTCAAACAGAATTACATTCAGTTCACAATTCAGCTTGAAATACTTGCTCTATTTGTTGCTAACATAGATTTATTTTCACAAGTGTTATGTTTTAATATACTTGAAATATTTTCTTGCTGTTTTATATTTGAAAATTTTCTATACAAAGACTGAAAAATAATAAATATGTAAGTTATTAAGTTGAATTGTATTAATAAAGATTAAATTACTAAGTATAAACATACTTTCTTTCAAACTAAAATATCTAATTACAATACAAAAATCTAAGCAAAAACTGTTGCTTACAAAATTATTTTTGTTTGAATATTGTTATTATACAAAAGCTCAAAGATTTTGAATACCGTATTAAGATCTGTGTTTGCAAACTCACACCTTGATACACAAAACGACATCTACATTAAAATATACACATACCTTCTGTAAATCCTTTCTTTTAAAAGAATGAATTTGTAGGAAACAATATCTAGAACCATCACTTCCTATTAAGAACTCTAAATGTCTCGCAAACTCCATGAAGATCTACTTTTCATTTTGTTGATTTTCCCATGTTGCCAGATCATTTAATCTTAATTTATTATGTCCAGACAAACGTTCACAAAGCAAATAATATCCTTCTAGTATGCTTGGACACTTCTGATATAGAAAATGTCTGGAATCTATTATATACCATTATTCGTATCAAAATGTTCACGAACAATTTTACACAGATTTTATTCACTATGTATTGTCATTTTAACAATTTAAACATAATTTCCGTAAATTACGCAAAACTTAAGTTATGGTTGTTCATCATTTTCCCGTTATTTCTATAAACTAATCGATGCGCGAGATTCTATTTTGTTGGAAAAATGTGATTATGATATAGACTTAAGCACGGGTAGAAATAACCTATAATGTCACGGAAGATAATATGCGACTTACTTTGGGATCCACTCAGCCAGTTCCAGGCTATATATGATCCAAATAATAATCCAAGCTCGGTAATAACAACTGTCTTCAAAAGTTCTCGGAAAGTTCCGGAATATTTCGACTTTGGTTCCTTGTGAAGCATACTAGCTAATAACAAGATTTCCTAAAATGGAAATCATCAATACCGTAAAGAATGATGTGCTTCTCGAGACATCGAGATCAAGTGCGATAGGAAGGGATAGTACAATCTTACCCGGCTCATTCACGTTGTGCAAACTCTCGAAAGTACAGTAGTCTGTTCGATATATCCTTTCGATACTAATGGCGGAAAATTCAAAGTTGTAACGTTTTATATGAAACATAATATAGATCGTTCGTAAAAATACACTTGTTGTATGAAATTTATTCTACCATAGCTTAGCAGAAAATGAAATACAAGGTATTACTAAAATGAAATATCAAGGTATTACTAATATTTATACATATAACTAAAAATACTGTAATAATTAACTATTAATAGCTAGTCAAATAAATTTGTCAAGCCTTAGACAGGCCCTCTTTTATATAGTTTATTGTGACGAATTGTCATTAAATACAATATTTTAAAATCTAGTATTTTTTATGATGTAACTTAATATTCGTCTCGCATACTATAAGTAAGTTTTAATGAATATGAAACTATTGGTACAGAAATTATGAATCGTAATAAGCTTTGTTTATAACGTTACATTATATGCATATAACTGTACTACTCGTTTCATAGTGTACAAATTTTGGAAAAAGTGCAGGCCCTTGTACCTATGGAAGTAGTCTAAATTAAAGATTGTAGAAGAATATTTATTACACAGCCTTTCATACATAAGTAAGCACAGGTAAAATATACAAGTAGGGAACGTGTTTTTAAAGCAATATTAAGACTGTATTGTGAGGAGCATTCATTACATATACAACAATAAAAGAATAACCATCAAAATAAATTTTCTTGCGATTTGTACAAGAAATGACACTATTTCCTTAATTTAATATATTAAATGTTCAAAGTCAAGCATAAATTTTGTATAAAAAGTTTGTTTAATTTTAATACGATTAATTTTCAATTACTACATCGATCTATTATTAAATTTATTACGATCTTTTAATCTGCAATAATACAAGCGGTGCCTTACTCAAATAACATGTTAAATAACGTAGGCTATATTTTAGAAAGTTACGAAGTATATTCTCATTTATGAAAAATAGGAAATGTCCATTGTTACATGTACTATACATAAACGTAACTACTTATTCACGCATTTGGCTGACTTTTTATAGTTTATTTAAAATATTTTATATAAATTATGAGTAACACAAGCAATTAGCTCATGCATTATTGGTCTTAAATGATACCACTAATACCTAATGTTACGCAATTTTAATATGAAGTATCTAAAGTAGATATTTTAAGAACAAACACACATTGCTATCGTAACAAACGGCAGTTATTTTCATAAAACCATATATTTATCATTTTATGTACATATGAAATAATAATGTAAAACCTAACAAATTAAGAAAGTAATATAGAGTAGTAGTAGTAGTAATAATAATAATAATAATAATAAAATAATGATAATAATATACATAAAAGTTCTTAAACAAGTTTTGTTTTTTTGATAAAGCTGAATCATATTATAGTCTAATTATATTTGTTGCTTCAATAGACATTTTAATTGCACTGTGAAAACATAAATTGTTATGTGGAGATATATTATTCTTCACTGCCTAAGTCTCAAGTTATACTAAAAGTTCTGTCCATTTCCAACAGTTCATATTTAAATAAGAGTTGTTACAATTTTGCTAATAGCAGCTGTAATAGTATTTATTTAAAATTAAAAGGAGAACTACAGTTATCTTTTTATTTTTAAAAATATTGGTATCAACAAATAACAGATTTACCACGTCACTCTGTATGAGTTTCACGAAAATTCCAATGCAAGTGTAGTAGCAAAAATATTCAGAATATATATGAAATTAGAGTTTGAATTGAAAAAAAAAAAACAGCTATTTCACACTGAACAAGTTAAAAATATAATAGCTCGATAGAATGAACGTCGTAAATAAATCACTATATTACTTGTTACTAGATATTATCATTGTCATAAATTCAATTATTACAGTGAAAAATTCAGCAAATAAATGGTTAAACTGGACAGAAATTTTATTATTCCTGATACTAATTACTGTTCACTATAATTTTTTAAAATATTATACAACTGATCGAAAATTATTTAAAAATCGTTTATTATGATTCAACATAATATAATACTGTTTAAAAAGTAGTTGTTCCATCTGAATTATTTATCTCGTACCTTTTGTTATAAATTAAATATAAAATTACTTTCCATTAATTTGCAGATTTATATGAAACATTTTCGCCCCTTATTTACATAAAATAATTTAAATGATTAATATTTTATGCAAATTTCTATATTTAATTTGTCAAACATGGCATACTTTGTATCTCAAGTTATTGTATTACTTTAACCTTATAAAAAAGATGACTTCTAAGACTTTTCCTTATTGCTTTTCTATGTTCCACCAACAAATACAAACATACTTAATTAGAAACAGAGAATTGCTATTTTGTTCTTAATGTTACAAATGTCTGAAACGAAATATATCACTGAAAAGTTAACAATAAAGATATATGTGAAACTTGAATGCCATTTAAGCATATTTTTTAGACAGAATTTATTACTTATTGTTTGTCATATTGCAAGCTACGTCAAATTACGTATTGAATATGAATTCAAATTATGAGAAAATGCTGGAAATTTTTAGATTATAAAGTGCTAAGGCACCAGAGGTAAATGCAAATGATAATAGTGATTGACATCATATTATCTCACTATAATTTCAGGGGCATAAACTACAGACATTTTCGTTTTATGTAAATGTATTTATAGTATTTTTTTTTTGAAAGTATTTGTACACATATACTCTACAGCTTCTGATATTGTGAGACCTCCAGTTTATTTTTAACCATTTATTACCAGGTTTAAAAAAAACCTAAGGTAATACATATTTTAGTATTCTTATCTCTTTATTTATGATAATATTTTGAGATGTTATTGTGTTATTTAACACAAAAGAATGTAGTCTATTAATTTATTATGTTTTCCATATATCCATGTATTTTTTGTAATTAATATTTACCAATTCATTTATGAAAAATGGTGTACTACTGCTTACAATGACGTGATATGATTAGAACAGAAATATAATATACACATCACATACATATGTAATAAGTACAGCATGAAAAATGCTGTAATGTTATATATGTTCAAATTGTGAACTATTCACAGAATATATGCTCACTTTTGATTTATGATTTCAAAATATTATTACATTATAAATGACATATTTTTATCACTTGACAATAATGGGACTTGATAACACTAGTAATAAAAGAAATGCAATATATAAAGATAATTTGATTTATATCAAGTAACCAATGCTTCAAAATGAATATTTAAAATTTATACAGCCTACTGATTCTATTTTAAAGTTTTTACAAGCGTGATAACTTTAAGGCAAATGTAATATTTATAAATTTTTGACACCAAGTGCATATATCTCAATATAAAATCACAGCATCGAATAAAGGTACTAATTTCAGTATTGATGTTTAAATTTTAGAACCAGTTTATTCCTTTCTATAATGAAATTGTCGAGATTTTTAGTACTTTGTTAATCTTGAATTAAACTGTACGTCTCAAAAAACAGTTCAGATATTTGCAAAGTTCACAATTTACCTCGGTTGTCCCTCACAGCAAATTATTCTACTGAAATAAAATTTCATTTCATAGAATATTTATATTACTTCTACACCTTTTATCGTATTTCAAGACATCTCCATACAATTTGAAACATACAGTATCATTGTGTATAAGATGGCAGTTACATATGTGATGAAAAATGAGAGCTGCATCACCTTTATTAACGAAAACGAAAAATGAATTGGAAATTTTTCAAGCACGAAATTGTTAAAATTTATATTTAATTTTTAAAAAGATTAAAAGGTATAGCCAAATAAGGGAGTCTAAAGCGTCCCTAAACCAAAGTATCGATTGCGATAGGTCATTTGGTAGCATACAAAAAAAAAAAAAAAAAATGTGTTAAGTTTCAAGCCTGTATCACAACTTGTGGGAATTAAAGAGTAGGAATCACAATTACGTTTTTGTTCGATAACTCTTATACTATTATTTAACGAATTTTTGAAAAAAATTGAGGTATTTCAGGTAAGGAGGCATATATTACGAAATTTATTCAGATGTTTTAATTTGAATGCTTTTTTTGTCAGGTTTTTTCATGTAACCTTATAGGAAAAATTAAACAGAAATATCATTTTCAATTTTTGTCTTGTAATCCCTCCTATGTAGTGATACAGACTTGGAACTTGATATCTAATATGTCTTTTTTTCGATATGTTATCGAATGACCTATCGCAGGTCGAAGTTGATTTAGGGGCACTTCCGTCACCCCTTTATATAGCTATAATCTTTAACATAATTTCTTTTAAATTAATTTTCTATTATAATTTTGCGAAACCACAGATTTTACTTTTGTAATGACCTTATTAATGCACATTCATTTTTGTCTCTTTATATTCATGCTAAGACGGAATTTGTTGAATTTAAATTCTGCCATAACCTATACTAGTCAATAGTATAGCATAACAGATTATGGCTGTTCATTGTTTTCG